CGTACGAACCCTTCGTACGAACAAAAGTAAGAGAAATTTAGGATAAGAATACGAACATGTTCCTGCATGAGGCCCATTGAAACACCTGGTTAAATTTAGAAGGTATTATGATTAACTACAAACATCTGAAGCTGACTCAGAGAACTCTGTGATTTTAGAAAAAATAAAAGTCAAATGTAGACACGTCTTTAAGAGACCCTCCTCCTCCTCCCCACCCCGCGCAGCTGCGGTCAGCGCACCTCCGCTCCACCTGTATGATTAATACTGATTTTTTTGCGCAAATTACAAATTTTTGACGCTCATTATACACGCTAAACGTCTGAAGGGTTGATATGTATGAACTCCCGGGCTGGTCGGAGCTGCGCTGCTGCAGGTGGACATGTTCGCTGCCCCTCGCTTTAGTCAGCTGATCCATCGCGGTTTTGTTGAGCTCGTGACGTGAACACACGGGGAAATGCTGCGAAGTGCTTTTAGAAATATAATAAATATAAAATACGACATAATCCTCGGTGGAAAATAGTCCAGGAGACATGTGCGTTCCCGGGAGGTGTTCACCTGCAGCTGAGTGAAGCTGACCCCTCGCCCACAGAGAAAGGAAAAAAAGGCAGTAATTATTGATAAGGTAACCATGCTGTGGCTTCACCTGAAGCATTTTCTTTTAAAGAAAGAAAAAATAGCTTGCAAAGCTGTCGCATCGGTGTTACGTGATTAAAAGCAGAGTTTTCATTGCCGTCTAATCTCACACACGTCTTCCTATCTTTGTGAGGACCGCACACAGAGCTCAGCCTCGCTCTGCGCCGTCTTTTCCCCAAGTTTGGTGAGAGGTGGATATGGGGGGACGCAAAAAAATAGCTCTGGACTTGATCTGGCCTCATTTAAATAAAAATGACTACATGCCGTGAAATTCTTAGAGGGGCCAGTATAATGGTAGGGGAAACACTGCTGTGAATCATCTTTGTTTCCTCCTATTAAATGGCAACTTGATGACAGAAAGAGGAGGAGGAGAAGCAAATGAACGCAGGGGGAGCCGCCAGTTTGATTTACTTAGAAGGCAAAAAAAGAAAGGAGGGCTTCACTAAAACTATACCACAGACAATCGGTTGAAGAGGAAATTTGGAAATGATCCCAGCGATGCTAAAATTGTCTCTTTACTCCAAAGCAGCCATTTACGCTGTCCAAACACTTCCGTCTATGACCTGTCCCCACTCGAGAAAAGCACGAAAATAGAGAAGCTCGGCAGAACGACACGGTGAGAGTGAGTCAAAAGTTCAAAATGAAGGAAATGAGGAAGTGAGGGGTAATAATAAACAAGGACAAGAATGATGAAACAGAAAGAGGTGATGGAGTAAAAAAGGAGCAAATCGATGAGCGGAGTGTTAAAAATAAAACAAAGGAATAACTCATGCTGCGGCACGTCTGCTCTGGGCATTCATGCCAGCCAGCTGTCCTTTTTTTTTAGTGGGGGTGGTGGTGGATCATCCATGATGTATGATAATACATCTGAAGATGCCATGTCATTAATCGAGATGCACACAGCAGCTTGTTTGATAAGTCAAAGCAATTAGGCTGCGGTTTGCTGTTTACAAATGGCTGCAGGGTTTCACAGGGTGAATGTTGAGAAGCCGTGGGGATTCACCTTGTGCTCAGTGTGGCTTACTAACCACAGGAAGAAACTCTGGCTGCATGATAAAAAGGCGTGGCCGACAAAACACGGATCGGTTGATAAATGAACAGGAAATGAGCCCAAAAAAAAAAAAAACTTTTTACTTTGTCCTCCAAAGTTTTTGGAAATGATCATAGCTGGCCTCCATTCGGTTCAAGAACCATAATTAAAGTCTGCTTTAACATTTACAAGGTGCTGAATGACAACAGTTTTGAATATCAGAGATTTTATTTTTATTATATATTTGACATACAGTAAGTACACCTTGTACTGTACATCCAATTAATCCAGACGTATTCAGCAACGCAGTAATTGTTCTGGAATTAGTGCTTCTTTTGTTATTGTTGCTAAAATAATTGCAGTAATTAGGCAACGTGAAATCGGCAACAATAAAAAATACGCTCACAAAAGGTTATTACATAATTGAAATTAATTACTGAAAAACAATCTCCCTCAACAGTAATCTTTGTATATATTTAGTGATGACAATGGAAGCCTTTTGTTTTACGATTCAGCACAGCTGTCCTGTAGAAATACTCTTTATTCAGCTTTAGTTTTCAGTATTTTGTATTTTAATGTTTACTGTTTTTTTAATTATTCTTCATTATATTTGTGTTTTTAGTTATTTTGCTCTCTGTTAAGCACTTTGTGAAGTCCATGTCTGTGAAAGGTGCTGTTGTATAAAGTACCTCAAAGTGATACTTGAGTAAAAGTACAAGTATTTTATCATAAAAATACTTTGGTAAAAGTTAAAGTCTTCTCTAAAAATATTACTTGAGTAAAAGTCTTAAAGTATCTGATATTTTTTGTACTGAAGTATCAAAAGCAAATTTCTGACACAAAATCTACTTAAGTATTAAAAGTAAAAGTACTGAACAAAAGTGAGCAGTTAAATTTTCCAAAATGACATTTATTGGGAGGTGACTTCTCCAAAAAATATTTTTTCTAACAGCATACAGTTGTGATGGGTTGTGTACAAGCTAATAGGATGTCAGAATGGTAAATATTTATACTTCTCATCCAACCACAGTTAAATTCACTCTATCCGGGAGACAATTTATCAGGATAGTATTTTCTTTAAGTAATAACAACTCAGAATAAAATAGGAGTAATGACTTTCTACTTCTTACCTTTTTAAAAAATGTAAGGAGGAGAAAGTACAGTTAATTGTGTAAAAATGTAATGAGTAAAAGTAAAAAGTACACTGAAAAATAATTGCTCAAGTAAAGTACAGATAACCAAAATTTGTACTTAAGTACAGTAAAAAGGATTTGTACTTAGTTACTTTACAACTCTGGCTATATAAATAAAGTTTACTTGTTTACTTATTTTATGCAAATGCAAGCCCATCAAAGTGGGAATCATTGCTTTGTATTTAATGTATTGCTTGTAAAATCCAAGTCGTAAATTATGACACAACTATATAGTACAAAATTATTCACATTATTTTTAAATTTCAGTCTATTCATCCATTTATTCACCCTATTTTCCTTTGGAGTCTCAGGGAGCTGTCACTGTGTGAGAGGCAGTGTCCATCCTGGATAAGTCCATCATGTGGACATGAAGACAAACAATCTCACTCACACAGTGGCGGATCTAGGATTTTTCTGAGTAAGGGGCCATCAAGGGGCCACAATATTCATAGAGGTGCCAAGTCTTTGTTCAACGTCCTTTCACACAAATTCCCAGTGTATACATTTTACACTTCAAACACTTGTAATGTAATGTATTTTTTTAAACAAGGTACCACTTTACAATAAGGCCCCCCTTATAGATGGCTTTTAAAGAGTTTATAGATAGTTTATTAATTAATCTGTAAACACTTTAAAAATTATTAGTGTTTATTGTGCAATAATTAAGGACGAGAACGAGACAAAATGGTCCAGTTTCATTTATTAATGATTTATGAAGTGTAATGAATTAATAACCTATCTATAAACTCTTTATAAGCCATCTATAAGGGGAGCTTGATTGTAAAGTGGTACCAAAAATCTTGCACAGTAAATTCTCCTCACCAGTTTTCATACATTTTACTGTACATTGATAAAATATTTTCAAACACACAACATATGAGAAAATCCAGCCATCATTTGTCAGCTGAAAGACTTTTTTGCAGGATTGTTCACATTTTAAAAAGAGAAGAAGAATTCTGTCAGCTTGATTCATTCTGGACTTTACTATTTGACTCATTAGCGCAACTAGTGTTTGAACATGGAACTGCATCCACCATCATCACCCCCCCCAGGTAAAGGACAGATGAGTGACAGGACAGGGGCACTTCAGGGGGCCAATCAGATTTCAGCTGGGGCCAACGCCCCTGTGGCCCCACCCCTAGAACTGCCCCTGCACTCACACCAAGTGACAACTTTAAGAGAGACAAAGCTAACCCAACAAACATTTTTTTTGGTCTGTGAGAGAAGAAAACCCAGCCGGGAGATGAACCTGTGGCCTTTTTGCTGTGAGGGGACGGTGCTAACCACAGATCCATCATGCAGCTTCTATATAATCCCATCAGTTTTAATTAATTAAAATTAAGACAAGGGTAGCAGGACATGAATGACACATAGTAGCTTTCATTTTAGTCAAATGACATGAATTATAGCTTCAAAGTCATTCTCAGGCTTGCCACAGTGGCCAGAGTGAACACTACTTAATTGGTAATTAATTGGATCGGTTTCTTTATGTCTTACCTTGCCGGAGCCATGGTGGAGAACATCGTTGTAGATGGTGCCAGTCTCCCAGTTCTTAACCTTCATGAAGCGGGGGCATTTGGAGGGGCTGCCGTTCTGCACCGACTTGACGGGTGAGGTCTTGTCCAGGGCCAGAGACTGGAAAGATGCACACGGACCTTTTACGTTTGAGTCATTGCATCATGACGGGCTAATGCAGCTAGATTAATGAGTTTTGACCCGTGCGGTGCAAACGAAATAAGTCGTTTCTGACAAGGAGTCAAACTGAGAGGCTGAAATGTGGAGCAACTCTGCCCATCCACCAGGAAGCAGTTCTGAGTGAAAATGACTGGAAAAAGTTTAAACAACAAATATCATCTGGAAGCATTTTCGCTTGCTTTCATCTTCTTCTCCAGCTTCTCACGGGAAAGCGTTCTGCTGAAGTTTTTGCTCACACAAACTAGAAACAAGAGAAACCATTCCGAGTCTCTCCTCGCTCCATTTCTGTTTCATTTCGTCACACCGGGATAAAAGTAATCAGCTCTAAACTGTAGGTTTGAGGGTAAGCTAACTGTTGCCCCTGGGGTTCTTAGTAAATACCTTTTGACTGATCAATGACTGCAATTTAACCCCAAAGCCCATTGTAAATGTTCCTTGAGAAAAGCAGCGAGTGATTGCCAGAGATCAGAGTAATCAATGGCACACTTTGGAAGCTCTTTCATCATCTCCCACAGCATTGTTAATTACACAGTGGAACAGCTTGTGAACAACAGGAACACAATCATCGTGCTCGCTGGAGGGAATACCAACAGTGTGCTCTGGTTGGAGGCAGGAGCTTTGAACTGAATTTGATTTTACACACAGAAATAAAGACGTATTTTCCATGTGTTCAGGCTGAAAAAACAGCAGCGAGGGCCATTTTGCAGGGTGTGATTGTCACAGGGGCTGTGAATAAGACCATTGTAGGGAGACTTTGACTCAAACAGGCACAAAGTGTCAGATGTCAAAATCTGTGAATCCCTGGTATGCATGAAATCACGAGTCTTTGTTTATTGACTACAGGACAACTTTGGCATTTACACGAAAAAGAAAACTTTTGTTGATGCTACACACACACACACACTAGAGACAGATTTTTACACAGGCAACTTGTGAAGGTCAGTGTACGTATAAAAAAAATTATATTGGCACTCGTGTGTGTTTTTAAATGCCAAAAGGACCAAAAGTAGATTTTTTTTTCTTATTTGAATGTTTGATTAAATGATAAATGCCAGTTAAAATATAAACATTAAGATCTAGGGAGTGAGTTTTTTTCCTAAAACAAACAAATAAAAAAAACGCTGACATTTATTAAATGCAAAAATATAAAAAAATGGATTATCCAAAATTTTAAATTTATTTTTAGCATTTTCTCTAAATAATAAATATAAAGATTAAAAAAGTCCCTCTTCGTTGACAGGGTACCATGATTTGTTTGAGGTTCAAATCCCGGACGACCCCCCACATTGTCCTGACTTTTGTTAATTGATCCTTAGCAGAGTTTCCTCATCCTTATCAATCAAATTTCTGTCACAGTAACTAAAGGGTTGTCAAATTTTAAAGCCTGTGCGTCCATGTTTTTTTTTTTTTGTATAACTCAATCATCCAATCATTTTCTAGAACTGCTTGATCCTTGCAGGGTCATGGAAAAGAGGTGCTTTATCACAACTAGGGCCAATTTAGGGTCACCAATTACCCAAACTTGCATGTTCTTGGTGAGTTGGAAGAAACTGGAGAAAACCCAAAACAAAACGTCACCGCCAGGAATTGACCCATGACATTTGTGCTGGAAGGCAACAGTGCTAAACAATCACACAACCCCAAACATGTAAACCTAAGTGTTGTTTTTGGACATATCTGTAGAACTGAATGACAACATATAAACTCAAACTATAAAATTGTCACCCCCCACCAAAAAAAATTAACTCCACTAACTCAGAAGCCTGAAAAAAAAACATTACATTACATAATTGCATTAGTTTGTGTAAACAAAAACAGTCTGTTTGCATACTTTCATCCTACATGCCCATTTAACCGATTTAGTCTTCTGCAGCACCACACTACACATGCAAACTAAAAAAAATAATAAAATAAAAAAATCAGTGTCAGAAGGAAAATGAACAAATGTAAAAGAATTGAGTTTTTTTTTCCAGAAGGGAATGAAATTGAAGCTAATCTGATGAAGATAATTGTTCAATGAAACATAATTACCCAAGACTTTCTAGGAAATGTGGTTTTACAGTAAAAGTTCCGCCTCCAGCCATCAGTTAACACTTTCTGATGGGAAACTGAGATGATTGGCTGTGGGATAGAGGATGGATGGGCAAAAAATAAATAAATAAATAAATAAAACCGTAATGGAAGGTAAATGAGACAGACAAATTGAGGGGAAATAGATGTAATCTGTAAAATAGTTTTATGGTTCTGAAGACGAGCAGGGTTTTACTACACCTTACTGAGTGTTGACATAAATGTGGATGAAGCAGAAGATGACATGAGGCTAGTTTTCTGCTTCAGTGGCATCATCAGATGGAGTGTTACCAGAACCTACTAGCAGGTGAAATTTGACTGAACAGTCCGTCACAGTTCCTTTGCGATGTGTTTGTTAAACATCAAATCGTACAGGAGCTCAAGCTGAAGCAGCTTGGACAAACCTTTCCTCAGAGTGAAAAAAAAACTTACTTTCCAGATCATCAAAGTGACCGAAATTCATGTTTTCTTGATGGAATTCAGGTCACATTTTCTGAAAACGTTTTGCATTTTCACCCATTTTTGCAGCATGGTGTGCCACCTAAGTGACCAAAGCTGGTATCAGTGGCTATCTGCAGCTCCTACGTGCACTTTTACAACAAGCAGCAAATCCTCTTCTGGTCAAAGGTGCAACATCATTTTTACATACAGAACATATTCAAAAAACCATGCACAGCTCATGCTTCAATGCAGGTCTGAGGAGCTGGATGAAGACGAACAGGGGGCGGGGGGCACATGTAGTGGAGAAAATGGGATAAGCAGCTGCATGCATTCATTAGTCCTCCTGGAATTATTTCACCCCATCCGGTCCCATTTATTGGGGCTTCGAACGTCAGAAGTGGATGGAGAATGCAGAGCGTGTGCAGAGCGTGTGCAGACACTCAGACCTGTGAGCAAAACCTTCAGTGTGGAAAAACCACGTCCACCTCACTGACACACTGAGGATGCTAAGCAAGGAGTCAGTGTGCAAAGCTGCAGCACGAGGGTTTAATTAAGCAGAAAATAAGCCTTTTAGTGAGGATTATTGAACAGTGAGCCTTGTACATATTTTATGCTCTTCTTTGTTCAACATGTGTCAGTTTTTTACCTTGTCAGCGTCAGCGTTGTGGTCGGCCACCATTTTATTGTCCAGCATTTTGTCGTTATCCGGCTCCTGCTTGGAGTCCCTGGAAGTCACATACAAGTTTACGTCAGGTGTTAATAGTCTCTTTTTGATGTTCACATTCAAACAAACCCTTGATCTTCTGTTTTTTAAAGAAAATAAACTGAGAGTGCAACATTAGGTTGTCTGATCAGGAAATCCTGCATGTGACAAAGTGGGTGAGAACACCATGTGCCCAGAGTTTAGCTTTAAACGGGCGATATTATGTGCTTTCCAAGCCTATATTTCAATTTTATTCTAAAAAAAATAACTATGTCACATTTTCAGCTTATGAAAGAGCTAAATATTTGTAAAAATCCCTAAAACAATTTACTTCTCATCTTGACAGTTTCTAAACATCTTGAAATGGGTCTCTGTCTCTTTAAGAAAATCCAACCACTTCTGTCACGCCCATTTCAGCATGTAGCCTGCCGGGAGGAGGTGCGGTGTGTGTGGTGGGGGGCCACTCCGCCTTGAGGAAGTTCGGAAGACACATCCCAGAGGAGGAGCTTGTCCCAAAAGGACACAATCCAGAGGCGTTTCTGGTCCCCCACCTGTCGTTTTGCTCCTCAGCATGGCTTCCTAAAAATGCTGCAGGATTTCTCAAACATGCATGAATGAGTCAAAGCAAGGCTTTGGGCATGTTTTTTATGAGAGTATAACATTATAACATGATATAAAACTAAAAAAAGTTGATTTTACATGATATTGCTCATTTAATATTTTCAGTTAACGTTTGCTTGTTTTGATTTAGTCACACCTCATCTTTATTCTGTACTCTGCAAACATTTATCCCAGGATTGACATTACATCTAGGTTTAAATCACCTTTAACATTTTATTGTTTTAGAACAATCAACATGTGAACTGTAATGCTTGTGAATTTACCTTACTTAACTGTGTTCCAGGAGCAAAAGGAGGAAGTGCTGCCTCACTTCCTGTATTTATAGTGATGTCACAGGAAGGGACCAGGTGAAGAGGAGGATGAAAAGTTGTTTGTAAATTTTATTAAGTCAACTTTAGTGTAAATGTTTGCCTTAGTAGTTTTATATTTTGTGCTGAAAATGTAACTGCTATACCCTAAAAGTTATTTTGTTTTGCTTATTTAAAGTAGAAACAATACGGAGCCCACGAGGGGACATGGGAGAAAAAATAATAACGGATCCTGACTTTCTTTCTCAGGATCCTGAGAACCAAAGTCAGGATCCCGAGAAAGAAAGTCGGGATCCTGACTTTGGTTCTCAGGATCTCGACTTTCGTTCTCGGGATCCTGAGAACCAAAGTCAGGATCCGTTTTTATTAATTTTTTCTCCCATGTCCCCTCGTGGGCTCCGTAAAACAATAAGGGAAGGATGGTAATGTTTACTCTTACATGTAATATAAAATATTCTACTGGAGTCCATTTTGTTTGAGTGGCTTGAATGTATTTAGTCAGAACAATTCAGGTGTTCAAGCATAAATTTCACATTGATTTTGGTTGATTTAAGTTTAGTTTTGTTACTTTTGACATTTTTTCTAGTTTATCTTGAGATATTTTTTGTAAATATTTTTAGTCACTTTTTTGTAAATAAATGAAATGATGGATTTACTTAACCATGTTATGTTACCTGGTTCCACTTAACTGAGTTGAGTAAATTCAAAGCAACATACTCATGTTCTTTGGCTAAAAAACTGGTATATTGCTTTGAATTTACTCAACTCAGTTAAGTGGAACCAGGTAACATGGCATGGTTAAGTAAATCCATCATTTCATTTTTTACAGTGGGAAGCCATCTATCTGTTGCCCTTCTTCAGTCACTTTGGCCAGGCTACCTCACACTGCAAAAGGGTTAAAGGATCTGCACAGAGAATTTTCTGTTGTATCTCTTTGATCAAAATTATACTGTGTACACCTACAAAATGGTCTTTAGTCTCATTTTAAACAGGTGCATGTGATGAATCTAGTTAAACTGACTTAATATATAAAACGATGAGAGAAATTAATCTGAAATGGGACCAAATCCTCAGAGACTGGATGAAAAGGGGAGGGGAAGCTCCACGAGCTGTTTCTGTGGCAAACAAACACAAACTCAGCTCACATTTGAAGATTGTATCCCTGCGATCGAAAACGCCCACACACACATCGCCTCCCACTTTCTTTCACACACCCCTCCCGTCCCCACTGCCGTCCCTTCCAGCACGTGTCCATGCAAATCGTAAAATCCTCACAGGCATCATTTCTCCCTTTTACACTCCCTGTCGCATTGGATCTCTTTTTTTCTTTTCTTTTCTCCATTTTTTGCCACAATTTTCAAGAGCATATTCATGCTGACTGTTAGGAAACACTAGCTTCCTCTTTTGCTGCTTTTTAAAAATTGCGAAGAAAAATGGATCATAAACTTTTATTTTTTAGTTGTTTTAAATGCCGGTTTAATGGAATGAAGAAAAAGTCGGAGACGCTTTTTGCCATTAAATCTAACAATTCACTCCGAACATCACCTGTTCTCTGTAGAGGCCATCGTGTGCTGCTGTTTAAAAAGTAGGCGTGTCTACACAGTAGATGGGGATTACCACTGAACTAATGAAGACTGTTCTGCATGTGAACTTAAAAGTTGACTTTTTTATACTTTTACTGCCACATGGAAAGAACAAAATGCATCATAAATGCACAACTTGTGTATATTCTAAATAAAGAGGGAGGGGTCTTGCCTCATTGAAAATATGCAAACAAAATAGCAACCAAGTATTAACTCGAAACTCTTGCATTGCATGCATTTTTATCCACACGTGGTGCCAGGTCCCAGGATGTTAAGCACACTGAGTCTTTGATTGTATTTAATGACAACTGGGAATTTGGAGTTTCAAATATCAGACAAACAAAAATTAAAGACAAAAAGTAGACGCCATAATTGCAAGTGTTTAATAATAATAAGGATAGCGCCTCCTCATGATGATCATGATGATGACCCTTGCTCTGTGCAGGGGTCTATGGCTGCAAGACCCGGGCCACCTGTTCTCGTGAATGGGTGCTCTGAACTGTAATTTCCCCTTGGGATCAATAAAGGTTTGTTCGTTCAGTCGTTCGTTCATTTGTTTAAATTGTGTTTTTCACAACTCAAATCCACCAAAAACATGGATTGTTGTTTTGTGAGAAAAAAAAAGATCCTACATAACTTTACAGGAAGTCCAAAGCGTGACCAGTAGGTGCCTATTCTAATCAATTGCAATTTTAAGTACGAGTTTGGCGCAATTTAAGCCAAACAAAAAACAAAAGGAAATAGGGGTGTGGAGGGTGCTGCAGCACACCTCAGTGAATAAAAAAGTCTTAAGGTATAAATACAAACAATACAATTAAGTTGTGTTGCATTATGTTTAATTGTCATAGACACTTTTGAGATCAGGAAGTACTTCATTTTAATGTTGATCAATGATAGTTTTTGAACTGTTAGCCTGCGGGCCTCATATGGCCTGCTGATAAGCCCCACCCCCACACCTCCATTTTTTCTTTATTTACTTAATATAAAATTGATTTTATGATTCCATGCAACGTAATAGCGCATCTTTAATAATCTTGTGAAAAAAAAGAAGACGCTTGAAGCCATCTGTCCATCTGTTGGACAGGAGGAAGTCAGCACAAATCCTGTCACGGGACCAAACTCTAAAACTCTTAGCTTGTCGTTTGGAAGTACCCAGACCAACACTTCTCATCATTCATTCTTTAAATATTTAAAGCCAAATCAGTAGTGTAACAATGATTCATGTAGTGAACTTTAGAACACCGTAAACGACACCAGAACTTTGAAATAATTGAGCTCAGGTTCTACAGAACAACGCAGCCAATCATCCCACCTGCATCCCAGCGTTACGGTTGGAGCAAGCCTTCCCTCCTTTGTGCTCGCAGTGGATCCCTAGAAAGCAATGAATCACTCACAGCATATTTATGAAAGAGACAAGGATGCGCACGGGTGGGCCAAGAATGAGATATTGATCCGAGCAGAGTGTAGCCTCGATCTGATTTCAATTGGTCGTGGGAGTACAATGGTGGATAACGGAGACGCCAATAACAACAACGCACTGAGCAGAGCCTTTATAGACCAAACCAAAAATGGATTATTGGTTCTCACTGAGGAGCCTCGTTAAACCCGTTCCCACGTGAATACTTAAACAAATAATCTACAGCGCTTTCATCAGGATTTCAAAAAAAATAAAAAGGTTCTTGATTAAATCTTTAATGAGTTTGTTAAATTCGGCGACGTTCTAAGTGTGGGAAAACTGCTCAACTGTTCTAAGAGATTTACCCGAGCCACGGCTGCTGTTTTAGTCATTTAAGAACCGCAGCTGCCTAATGTTGCAAATAATGTCATTTTAAGTGAGGTTTTCTGGAGGCCAGCATGCAGCAATTACTCACACTACTGTACACTGAGTCACAGCAATGACAGCGTGCATGGAATCGCTAATGCAACACAGATGTGTCTGGTTGTTCAGAGACCGCGGGGTGGCAATCTGCAGAGGGATTCTTTCACTAACTGAATTAGGGGCTGTTTTTTTATACAAGCCAATAACTCCCTTCTTCAGGGGGTCTTGAGTTGAGTTGTGTTTGCAACCTTCATATCTGGATGGAGGACAGAGTTGGGTGAGCTGAAGGATCAGGAGGCATAAATTACAAGGAGGTTCTATAGAACTGGAGTGCGCAGAATCCACGTGACCATGTGATCGGCTGGAGAAGCTAACGGCTAACGCTAAATGGTCAAGACTCTGGATTTCCCATTACTGTACATGATGACAACAAAGCAGAATAAAAGGACTGACAATGTAGAAATCATTAAAACTATTAATAATAACATTAATCCAATTATTATTAATATTTTACAGTTTGTATAATATATCTAATGTTTTAAATAATGTCAGAAAAGCTGTTTGTGTTATGGATTTATTAACAGAAGATAAACAGGAAAATGTCTCATTTTACAACACAAGTCAGCAGATTTGATCTTATTTATCTCAATGTGATCTGAGCAGAACATAATGTAACAGTTTAAAATTAAAATAATCTTATAAAGTCCATGTAATCACTGTTATTTATTGAACTGGTTAACAGATATTAGCTTGTGGAGCATATATACAGAGTTTAGCTCTGTTGAATCATGTTACAATTTAACAAAATATTAAATATTACAGATGATTTGTTCTCTGATTAATATTCAGACCTACAGAGTGTAAAATAATATTATAAATGTCTGATTAATATTTAGACCTACAGAGTGTAAAATATTATAAATGTAAGTATTTTTAGGTTTCTGTTAGAGGAACCTGACTTGTTGAGAAGATGTTAGCTAATAGAGACAAGTTTCATCCTATAACCAGAGAACATTTTCTAACTGTTGACTGGTAAATATAAATATTATTTTTTATGACAGTAAGAAGAAATAATAAATATACTTTATTACAAGCTGAAGTCATCATTTTTCAACTAGCTAAAGTCTAAGTTACAGGCTGACTTCAGGTCTGGATTAGATCATTGTTACGTATAGATTATATATTTTTCTGGTATAAATCTGCTGTTTTACATGATTGTTGAATGAAATTAACATAACTATTAATTTATTGTAAAAACATGACAGATAATCTGTGAAACAGATCCAGTTCAGCTGCTGTTTATCTATTAGTTTCTATGGAGGCTGTGAGCTGTTGTCCTTTTAGACGCCATTTCTGCTCCTCCATGCTGTCAGACACTACCTGTGTACGGAATGGGCGGGGCTCAGTCTAGTGGTCTTTATATTTAAGTCTATGATAAATTACCTTCCAACTTGCAGCTCGGCGTCTCTTCTCCCCCCGTTCTGCTGGCCCTCTCCGTTGATCTCCTTCTTGCTGTTCTTGATCAGACGCAGCACCGGTTCGATCTCCCTCAGCAGGTCATTGTTCTCCTCCAGCCCGTTGCACAGCAGGGCGCCGCGGCCCCCGTCCTGGCCCTGTATGCCCCCCCTCTGCAGCAGGGTGTGGGTGATGGAAGGGGAGGAGAGGTTCTCGATGGCCCTGAGCTGGGACTCCTTGGTGACCTGCTGCTGACCCGGGCTCTGGGCGCTCAGAGGGGACCACTGCTCGTAGGACTTCGAGAGTGGGAAGGCAGGCCGCGTGACCCTCACCGTGCGCTGGCGCCCGTCCCGGGTGATAGTGGTCTCCAGGTGGGTGGTGTAGCCCTCGGGCCCGCGCAGGATGAGCACGGCGTGGCTCTCGGGCGACACGTTCTTCAGGGTCTCCAGCGCCCGCTCGTACGACAGGTCGACCAGGGGCTTGTTGTTGACGGCCAGCACGATGTCGCCCACCTGCACCAGGCCGCACTCCTCCGCCGCGCCGCCACGAATCAGATCGGACACGATGACGGGGGGCTTGGACACCCTCTGCTTCACCAGGAAGCCCAGACCACCAACCTTCCTCTTGAAAAGACGCACCGAGATGATGTTGGGCTGCAGCTGGCACACTGTGGGCTCCGACTCCTGCATCGTGCCTGTGTGTGTGTGTGTGTGTGTGTGTGTGTGTGTGTGTTAGTGTTTATGTGTGTGTGTTTCTCCCCAGGGGATATTCTGAAAAGAGAAAACACAAGGGCTATTAGGGAAGAAATCACTGGTGTTGATTTAACATCCGTTAAACAGGGTATTAAAGCGAGCATTAAAGCAAGTGAGTTTCCAAGAGGTCATTTTACAGATCATTACTTCCTGCTGAGCTGAGGATACAAAAGATAAGCTTTAAAATCTTTACACTCTTTTCTTTTTACTTCACTGGGGTCTGAATTACAGGACAGTGTGCAAATCAGACAAATATGTCAAAAGCAAACATTTGCTATATAAAAAAATACAGTTTTGTTTTCCCTAACAGGTGCAAACACATCAGGTTTGCTGCCTAAATGAGCTAATGATCCAACCCATTCTCACTCCCGAGTCGTCACATATTGACGCTTTTCCAAAGTTCCCTCTGCGTCTGATTTTAACGCATCAGGTACTGCCCTTGCATCATTTTTTGACGAGATGGGTCGGAATCTGTTGTCATAATTTCTGAAAGTGTAGAAAATGCACAAAAACTATCGTTCCAAAGCCTAAAATTACCTTTATTCACTTTAGACATCCTGTCCCTGACCCTAGTACCTAAAATTAACCATTTTTAGAAAATGTAGGAAATTCACGTCAGCTACGTGCTCCAAAGCCTAAAACTACCTAATATTCGCTGTAGACATCCTATCCCTGACCCCAGTACCTAAACTTAACCATTTATCCTGATCCCTCATGTTAACCTCAGACCCCCGACCCAAAGACCCCTGGTGGCACAACCCGGAAAAGCCGCTGGCGGCGAGGACTGACTCGAGGGGGTCACCCGACATGTCAAAATAAGACGCAGAGGGAACTTTGGAAAAGTGTCAACATGTTGACGAGTCGGGAGTGAGAATGTGTATCAATGTTTTCTGTGACACTGAAAACTGATGACCCATTTGTGTACTTTCCCTCATCCCCTTCATGGTGTCTGTCTGTTAGCAAAATATTTAATAAAACCACTCAACCATTTTTAATAAAACCTTAAGGTTTTTTTCATGGATATCTATCTATCTATAATGAATTAACCTTTAGAGCCAACCCAATTTCAGAAAGCTGCAGATGCAGCTGACCTTGTAAAAATGGTTTTAATTGAGTCATTTTTACAAATATTGTGCAACAACGTTATATAGCTGATAGTCACCTCCAACAAATACTGTTACTCATTATGGGAGATGTTTGCTTAAAAAAATTAGCCTTTACTGCTGAAGGCAATCTTGTTTGTCTGTTAGCAAAATATCTCCTGAACCACAAAGCACATTTGGATGAAAGCTTCAGGAATTATTCAGTGGATGAACATTTAGAACTGTTTATCGTCTGGAAGCAATCCGAGTCAAGATGGCCGCCAAAGCTAACTGTCATTGGCAAACACAAAAATGGCTATAAATTAGTTAATTTTACAGATATTGAGCTAAAATGTTTTGCGATAGAAGCTGAAATCATCCTCAACTCAAACTCACGTATTGCTTGAATGATTGAGAAAAACACTTTTTTTTTCAAGATTGATCAAAACAGCTACAACTCTGTCATTTTCAACATAAGACAGTTTGAGTCTGACACTTAGGTGGTGAGTGGCATGCATTCCTCTAAGCAATACTTGACCTTTAATTTGAAAGAAAATCAACTTTTTTTAGTTTTGTTTTTAAACATTTACAAAGCAATATTATTAATCACAACCTTTTGATGAGAATTAAACTCAGAGCATTTAAAAATGAGATAAAATCACCAACAGGGAGCATTTAATTGAGTATTTCAGATATATTCATTTTTCCACCCGATCAAGTGTAAATGAATCATCTGGTTGAAAGAGACTCCAGCCTCTGAGGTCAAACACTTGTTGATTTGATCACAGAGTTCAGGGAGAAGCTGGTTTTAGCTGTGCTCAGAGGAAACGCAAACGTTAAATTGCCTGGATATTTATTTTTTTCTTTTTAAAAGAAACAAGTTGTTTTTGCATTTTTAAACAAAATGTATAAAGCAGATCCTCCCCCCGCTGCTGCTGCTGCTCCAGTCCACTTCCATTGTTTCTGGAAGTGAACCCAACAAGTCGCCGGTGTCTGACTCTTTTATTCCTTTAATGTAAAAGCCACATGAAAGACAGGCGGCTGCTGTTCTGTGTGGGCGGGGTGGCGTCGCCAGGAATGCGCCGAGTGTCGGAGGAACGGGCGCTGTGAGTGCGCGGCGGGTGCAGGAGGGCTGGCTCTCTGCGCGCAGCGGGGCGGAGGGGGCGGGGTTTCAGCACCAAGGTCAGCGCTCAGCCCAGCCGTCACAGCTGCCTCTGGTGAAGCTTTTATTTCCTTTCCTCATTCCACACTTTTATAAACTGGTCAGAAGGAAGGCATTTAATTATTACAAGGATTTAAGAAAATAGCTTTAGTTTCCAAGAAAACTTCTCCAAAAAAAGGCTCCTAAACCAGTTCAACCAGTGGTTTTAAACACAAGATATGAATAAAATCCCACATCTCGTGCAGTTTCAGTGACGCTCATTCATAAATATCAGGCGAGCTGTGGCGCAGGAACAACTTCCTCTGCTTCATTTCTGCACCCCACTGAGTTCAGGAATGACCAGGATAATCCCAAGAATATGTGCTCTGAACGTGGAGATTAGGATTAATTTTATTTATTCCGCGGGAATGCTGTTATATTTGCGTTTGGAATTAAAACATGAAGCATTTTTGATTAAATAAAACGTGGAAAATCAGACATAATTAAGAAAAAGGAGTCGAGGAAATAACATAATTACTGTATTTAATTAGAGCCTCGTTTATTCGAACATAAAGCCATTCAGAAACCGTTTTTTTGTCTGTTTTCTGTGTTTAACAACTCGATTCGTTGCAGCTGCTCAAGATTTCCTCTGCAATGATTTGTTTACATTTTGTATTACAGAAACAAATGTTTATTGCATGTTTAAACCTGTGCAGCACCTCTGCAGGAAACAAACTCAGATTTGCAGGTGAAGTTAGAAGTTTAGAGAGAATCTTGTGTGTTTGTGCACAATACAAACAAGTCGGATTAACCGAAGGTCGCGGATGCATAAATAATCCTCACAACATGGTGAGAAACGAAAAAAAAATTCTCTTTGATTTAAGGACACGCGCGTTAATCTGACAGTGAGTTATTTCTGGTTTCTGACAGAGACTAATGGAGCAAAGTTCTGGATCTCCTTCTTACAAAAATAACAAAAAACAGATTTCACCAATTAATAATTTGAAAAACAAAGATTTCTTTTTGAGTCGACACAACAAAATGATTCCCATTTGAACAAAGCAATAATCATTTATTTTTATATCAACTCATAAAATACATGTTTGATTTAAAATGCAAGACCGATTAAAATAAATCTTTAGTTTGATTTCTTTTTTTGCGCGGTCGCATAGACAAGTGCGCAGGCTATTCCCAGCAGCCGTGAATTCACAGATGATTTTCCTCAGCAACAAGTTCTGGAGACTCTTTTATGAGCAGGAATTTAAAAACTCGTCACCAATAAGAGTGAAACCACGCTTTGCTCTGTGACAAATACCTTTTTTTTCTTCCTTAAATGAAGCGCCTCTATAAATAAATGACTTTGGTAACGGTCCATCCTGTGCAGCTCCGCTGCATCATCCACCGGCGGAATGCGCTCAGAATAACAGAGAGGGGAAAAAAGAGCTCAGAAAATTCAGCAACAACTCACCCTGAGGAGATGGCAGTCGACCTGCAGCGGGTGAAGTTTAGACCCAAACTCCTGCGCTCCTGCGTCAGCAGCGGCTGCACAGCTCCCCCTCTCAGAAAAATAAAAATAAACAAACAAACAAATAAAAAAAACTGTGTCTCCAAGCCTCTGCGACGCGCTCTGCCTCTCTAGAGACGAGGCATGCTTGTGCCTTTTTGCCGCGCGCAGGGGCGCGTTATAAATACTGAGCGAAGGGAGGCTCTGTGACG